GATTATTATCGAACACGTGTTTTTAAAAGAAATCGAAAATAATAAGCTGGCAAAACTTCTTCCCTAAGAATTATGACACGGCTTTATTATTATGACGTGTAGTTCACGGGCCATGCGGACAGTGAATGTGCAGTGAAGTTCACTTTGTGAATAAAAAACAATCGGCTCCTTTCGGAAGAACAATGTAAGTGTTCGAAAATTTTTAAGTGAAGAGTGACAGTGGTTTGATGATATTGAGTTCGTGTATAAAAATCAGTCAGCTCTTTTCAAACAAGCGTATTGATAGACCGTAGGAGCAACAATCTTTTTGTGTTACAATTTTTATGTGTAGAGTGACTGTGATCGTGCGGTGGATTGTCGTTGTGGGGTTCCTTCCCTGGACAGAAGATCAGCTGCGGCCTACCTGCGAGCAGCAAAGACGCTGACCCATCGTGAGTAGGTGCACTTGCGGATGAATGGATAAGTCTAATCTCTATAGTTTTTGCATTTTCTTTTAAATTCTATATTCCCTGCGATTATATTATATTTCTATATTCCCTTCCCTGGTAATCTCTCATTTATGCTATCATCATCCATCAATTATCAACAATCTATCATTTCCCCATCCATTCCACGTGAATAACGATTAAGTGTATTAATTGTTATTCATAATAACGAACGAATAACAATTTCCTTGCATTGTTATTCATGTAGTTTGTTATTCGTTATTTTCTTAAAACGCTTCGTACTGAGCGGAGCGCTTATTCAAACGCGTCAAAGGCCGGGGGGCCGGATCCGAGCCAATGCTCCAGAGTCCGAGCTCGCGCCACCGGAGTGCTGTCATTGGTCCGTGTTTCTCGTTAATAACACGGTAACCAAGCTCCATTCTGCATTTTGCCAAAGGGAATTGTTGTTCACTTTGACCCTCACAATCTGCCATTTTCGGCTCTAACACTATTTCTGGGACACCCTGTATGCATAAAATCAGAAGTACTCCATTAATGGTGGTCCAACTAATGAGCAAATGGCAGTTATTTGTCCGATCCCCGATTAAAATCCCTAATCCGTAATCATCCTTAAATGAGTGCGGCATTGCTGTGGAATTGCTCACTACTATGTACAGTGCATGCCATGAAACCGTTACGTTGTATTATGTACTCGGTATGGAATAAATGTTTTCCGTGTCATCTCTGGTTTCGGATCTTATATTATAAAAGTATAATTGAGAGGGTAAATTAGTAAAGGAACGAATGTAAACTAGAGATCATATAAACTGCGTGTGGAGTGCAACTTTAATTAATTGGATCAGCCTGACATTAAAAAATCTTGACTTCAAATCTCGCCGATTTTGTCTAAAAGGAGATCCATCTAGTAAATAGGAAGAATGAATAGGAAGGAGCTCCATCTAATAAAACGTAACAAACTTTTTCGACGTCGGCGGTGGGATAGTTTACAAATAATGGACATTAAGACTCGTATAACGCTGATGAACTGAAGATGCGAAGATTTTAAACTGGTCTAACGTATCC